GTCTGTAAACATTGGTACCTTTCAGCTGCGAGGATGCATTGTCTGTCTTTAAAACGTTGCAGTCTGACAAGGATCGGCCGTGGCCGAGAGTGTTATCCACTTAGCCACCTTGCCACACACACTATAGTGTGGGAAAACTAATGTTTGTTGAGGAAACTCGTTCCCTCAATAAAGATTAGTTTTATGAAAACCATAAACATAACAATATAAGTTCATTAAACACAGTCTTTATTTGCACTCATTAGCTCACTAGACTAACGTACACATTGTTTGTACTTATCCGTTTTAGTTTTATAAATGCCATGAGCATAACAATACAAGTTCATTCAACAGTCATATATTAGTCTTAAGGTCCTGAACTCTATAACTCTGAGATTGAGAAGAAACTCATTTAGAGTTTAGTTTCTGTTAAGTACTGCATTCAGCCACAGTGACTTTTGATTACAATTAGAACATTCTACAAGACTGACCCAGGGAATATATAGGCCTACTTTGGCTTGGCCCTGTCCATTACGGTTGGTAAAAATAAATACAATTATTCATTTGGTCAAATTTGTTCATTCAAAATGTTGAATGCAGCTGGTTGCCATGACAAATTTGAAATGAGCATGTGCAGATAACTTGACCTCACTCTAACTCGGTGCACTGTAAAAACGACAACTCAAAATTGTTCACCTTACTGAGTTTTTTGCATTCACTGACAATAAAATTGAACTGTCTGTTGTGAGATACTTGAACTCACTTTCAGAAGTTGATTAAGTTCATTTTTTTCATGTCAACCACAACTTCAAAGTAAAATGAACTTAATTTATCAAATAAGGTGAACTTTTCATCTGCAACTTCCGAAAGTGAATTCAAGTGGCTCACAACAGACAGTTCAAGTTCCAACTTGCAATTTCATTGTCAGTGAATGCAAAAAATCTTAGAAAGGTGAACAATTTTTAGTTGTCATTTTTACAGTGAGGTATGAGTTGGTGTTTTAGATAAACACTGTGAATGTTTGACCTGAAAAGAACACAGCTCACATGTTGGTGCATCGTCTTGTTGAGAAAACACCAATCGTTACTTACACGGCTCTTTACGATGCAGGATGTGTCTTTCGGGACCTTAACTCTGAGTTTCTTAACCCACAGACAGAAGTTGCAGCATCCATGGTTTTCCAAACCTTCATTTGTTTAGCAGTGCAAAACTAGATAGATTGAGATATCCAGAACTGAACTGGCGGATATTTTTCTCGCCAATCAAATTATACTCCGATAACGCATTAGGATCATACTAGGGTCTATACCGTTACACAATTTGACTTTTACGATGTATCGATCTCAAGAATTAGAATCTAAAGTGAAGAAAAAGACAGTCAATCGTGTCTTTAATTCAGACAAAAGACATGTTTTATTGTGGATGGTAGAGACAGAACAAAGACGTTACAGAATGTAAGTGATATTATACAGCGGAGGAATGGAGACTTAGTAGCATATTAGCATATTAGCATGTAGCTTCAACCTTGATATTACCAAAACATGTAGTGGAAAAATACTGCCTTGTGCATATTGTTAGAATGATGAGTTAGATCCAGTGGGGGCGGGTCCCCAGAAAGCTCAGGACCAGGCCCACGTACAGCCACACGTCTACATACCATACAGGCAAGTTTATTCGTATAGGACAGTATTTGTATAGTTTTTTATGCAATTCATTTGTACTCATTTTGATTCATTTAGGATTTATACTCAGCTAAACTTAATTCTATAATGTATAATCTATCAGTCTAAATAAAATAAAAATAATAGAACACATTTTTTTATTTTCATTTATTTGAAGGGACAATGAAAGTCAACAAAGAACAAAAAAAGCTTGTAGCTGATGCGATGCAAAAAATGTTTATAGCTATTGCTAAAGGCCCAACCTTTCTGCACTACATTCACATTTTCAATATTATCCTAAAAACTTACCTATATTCACTGTTTACATATAATATTACTTAGAATGAGTCTGGTGTGTGTATGAATGGTTGGTGATGGTCGGAGGGGCCGATGGCACAGACTGGTTGCCTCGCTTCTGTCAGTGTGCCCCAGGGCAGTTTATCAACACCGTGTATGGAGTGAAAGAATGACATGTAAAGCGTCTTTGAGTGTCCAAAAAAGCGCCATATAAAACCAATGCATTATTTTTTATTATTAATATTTATAACAGCAGAGGGTTAGAGACCAGAGAGAGACCATGGATAGACCATGGAGAGACCATGGATAGACCATGGAGAGACCAGAGAGAGAGAAAGAGAGCAGAGAGAGACACCAGAGAGAAAGACCAGAGAGAGAAAGACCAGAGAGAGAAAGACCAGAGACCATGGAGAGACCAGAGAGAGACCATGGATAGACCATGGAGAGACCAGAGAGAGACCATGGATAGACCATGGAGAGACCAGAGAGAGAGAAAGAGAGCAGGGAGAGACACCAGAGAGAAAGACCAGAGAGAGAAAGACCAGAGAGAGAGAGAGACCAGAGAGAGAGAGAGAGAGAGAGGCCAGAGAGACTAAAGAGAGAGAGGGACCAGAGGGAGACCAGAGAGTGATTAGAGAGAGAGAGAAAAAGAGACCCGAGAGATACCAGAGAGAGACCAGTGACACTAGAGAGAGAGAGACCAGTTGTTGACCTCAGGACGGGCTAACATTAGCAGTAGCTTCAGCCCAATCTTTTTTTTTCTTGTGTTACAGTCTATGGTTGTGTCACAGTCTATGGTTGTGTCACAGTCTATGGTTGTGTCACAGTGTATGGTTGTGTAACAGTCTATGGTTGTGTCACAGTCTATGGTTGTGTCACAGTCTATGGTTGTGTAACAGTCTATGGTTGTGTTACAGTCTATGGTTGTGTAACAGTCTATGGTTGTGTTACAGTCTATGGTTGTGTAACAGTCTATGGTTGTGTCACAGTCTATGGTTGTGTCACAGTCTTTGGTTGTGTCACAGTCTATGATTGTGTTGTGTCCCATCTGACTGAATGTAAGAATGGATGAATGTGTTTTGCTAGTTTCCAAACTCATCTAGGTTCGTTCTAACATGTTTGAGTAGAATCCAGGTGTGTATGAACTGTGCTATACAAATAAACTGGCCTTGTAGCGAGGGTTGTGTAGCGTTACCTTTTGAGCCCTGTTTGGATTCACTGGAGGGCTTTGAAATCACTGCATCAGATCCAGAACTATCAGCTGGAGGAAGGATTAAAGACATAATCATTGTCATAAACAGACATTTGAGCAAACAGTGAAAAAAATGATCATTATGAGGTAATAAATGCTTGAATTGTGTGTTTTTATCTTAATCTGAGTTTCATTCTGACAGGGGCAAAAATATTTAGTTTTATTTCAAGAACCGTTGCTTTATTTTCTCATTCCAAGGGAGATATTTTTGTATCTTTTTAAAACAAGATCATTTTGTTTTGTCCCACTGGAGAATCTATAGTTTTAAGGCTCAGTCACAATGAGCTCAGATGAAGACACATTTTGCCAAATTTGAGCAGATTTTGACTTTTTTTCAGAGAGAGAGAGACAGAGAGAGACAGAAACAGAGACAGAGAATGACACAGAGACCAAAGAGAGCGAGACACCAGAGAGAGTGAGACCAGGGAGAGAGAGAGGGGGAGTGAGTTTGGATTTACCACTGATGACATAAATCTCGACATCCCTGATTGTAGGAACAGGAACTGTCATGTCCATTGTCCAGTCGTACAGTAAACAGCTGTAGGACCCAGTGTCAGACTTTTGCATGTTTTGGATGAAAACCCGCATCACATAGTGGGATGAAGACTCCTTCTCCCACTCCAGCCGGTATCTGCCCTCGCTGGCCCAGTCTTCGAAGGAGTAAGTTCTTATCAAATGTTCGCCCGACTCCTCACAATGATTTTTACAGAATATCCTTACGAACGAGTCTTCCTGAAAGTAACAGTTGAATTGTAGATCTTGTCCTTCCTTGACTTGGATGACTTGTCCAGCTCTGGTGAACGGCCCTCCAATGGTGAGACCTGAACAAAAAAATCCCCCAAAAATATTCAATTCAATGTGGTTTTGCATCGTGCTAAATTGCTACAGCGCCCCACAGCGGAGAAATGTCAGTACTGCATTAGCGGTAACAGAGCAGTGGGAATGAGGAGCACACAGGGAACACATGCATGACATAGAAAGTGGGGCTCGCGAGGGTATTGCAGTTTTATTTAATTATTGTATGTTAAATTAATAATACTTTGTTTAAGTAAGTAAGTAAGCTTTATTTATATACCGCCTTTCACAGACCAGAGTCACAAAGCGGTTTACAATTGTTATTTTTGGGCATTAGTCTCTCACTCCACACAGAGATGGGAGCGGGGTCGCCGAACAGGAGGCGCATGCCAGACCTATTGTACATATTTTTAGTGGTAGGGGAAACCGGAGTACCCGGAGGAAACCTACGCAGACACGGGGAGAACATGCAAACTCCACTCAGAAAGGCCCTTGTCCGGCCGGGATTCGAACCAAGGACCTTCTTGCTGAGAGGCGAGAGTGCTATCCACTCAGCCACCGTGCCGCCAATATTAAATATAATATTAAAATATTTGTGTTCATTATTTGACTTGAAAAATCAAATTGTAATCATTTTTGTATTACAAAATGGGGTGCGTCATTTACATGCATACGTTTGATGCAGAGACTATTTGATGCAGAGGCTTTTTCCCCAAAATAAAATAACGAGAAGAGCCTTGGTTGTCTGCTTGGTTAGTATTTTGGGGGGGCCCGCAGACCCGTCAGATTTTTAAGGGGTTACTGACTTTGGGAATGGCTGCTCTATACTAAATAAAATGAAAAAAATAAATTCAAAATCAATCAAAACGAATAAATAAAATAAAATCTCTAGATTTAGCATAATAATGAAGCTAGTATAATATCTCTAACTTTAGCATAATAAAGAAGCTAGCATAAAATATCTAGCTTTAGCATAATAAAGAAGCCAATCTTATACTAAAGATAGAGATTTTATACTTGCTTCTTTTACATATATTCTTGTTAATGTTTTGTATTATTATATTAAACTTACAGATCAGCAGCAGCACTGAGCCGTGGGGTCTTGTCTCCATGGCGATGGTGAATCTAATACTGCAGAGAGAGAGAGAGAGGGTCCAGTCTTAAATACTTCATAACTTACTTCCTGTTTTAAAACACTTCCAATAATGTGTTTCTCAGAATGGTTGAGAAATGGAACACACTCACCGTTACTGTGAGGCCGTCACTGGAGGTCAGTCTTAAAAAGGATTTCAGGGAAAAGACATTGAGTAAAGCAAAGTGGCAAGGCAAGGCAAGTTTATTTGTATAGCACAATTCATACACAAGGCAACTCACAAGTTTGTTTTGCTGAACAAAATAAGATGGCATTAAAATCATAAGTAATCACAGTACATTAAAAAAATTGCATGCCAGCCTATTTCAGAACAAGTACTCCCATTTTGCCAGAATATAGACCCATATAGACCCACAGAATATTGTGTACTATGACTATCTGAAATCCAAAACCAGATTGGACTGTCTACTTTCATCAGCAAAAATGATGTTGTTTCTAGCCCGTTTCTAGTTTCTTCCCCTGTAATCCTCAGTTGAGTAAAGGGAAGTTTTACCAAAATCACCAGTCTCAGACAAAAAGATGAGAAAAAAGAGGCACAGAAATGAATCTCCAATCTCTTAGTGAAATCTTTGTCAAAATACCTTAAGGAGGATTTTCCCAAATTTTAGGAAAGAACCGCCCTCTCCACTTTTTGAAGAAATCTCTCTTGTCTGAATGTCCAGAAGGATTGACAATTGGGAGGACCAATAGTCTTGATGATCCACCCAGAAGTAGAAAATCCTATATACCTTTAATGATGTAAAAAAATGAAATACAAAAATACAAATACAAGGAGTACACACACAGCAATGTCGATAAAAGTCAAGTGAGGCAAAAATATACCCAGCCCTGTTAGTCACTCTTTGATTCACAGGGCTCTCCCTTAAAATCTTGAATAATAACGGTACATTCAAAAGAGTGAAGATAGAATCCTTCAGTTGTACTCACAAATAAATAGAACTGTTTTTAACTTGGAATTGAACATTGTCAGAGTGGAAGTCACATTTTCAGGAAGACTGTTCCAGATTTTAACTGAATGAATCTGCCTCCCCATGTTTAGTCCTAACTCTGGGAACATCTTGGTTATCTATTAAACTATTCCAAGTCCACTATATTTTGTAAATTAATTATAGCCTTGACTTTCAACTATTACACCATTCTTAGTTTTTACAGATTATTTTTTTCATCTAGCCAATCCCAAAGGTACTTACATGAGTACCTATGAGTCTACCTGGCATTTTGCCTGTGGGTTTATTTTATAAGAGCAATTATTTTGTTGGATCTATATCTAAAAAAAATGAATGCTATAAAAATGTCTGCAGTTTGACCATGGCCTGACCAGCAGAGGGCGCACTTGCATAAGACGTTTCCATATTGTTTGCTGAAAAGGCAAAGGGGCAGAAATTATTGACATTATTTGTTGTTCCTACTTATTGTACGTAAAAGTTAAATATGGCATGACGAAACAGACATGTTTTCCACACCTGTTGAAAAGTTCTAAAAATAATCCTTCACAAAAAAAGATTTTAATTTTTTAACTGTTTTTAATAAACGTGTTTATTTTCATACGTAAACTCCGGCAGCTGTGTGTTGCTATGGTAACTAGCACTCGCTCCAGTCTAGAACCAGTCTAGCAAGGATCGAGATGATTTCATAAACATAAATAACAAAAATATAAACTACATATAGAAACAGAAAAAGCCACAAAGTTTTGAAGACATAAAACAGACGTAAACTTCCAAAACGAAAAGCCGTCAAATCGACTGCTTTGGGAATTCTAATAATTAATGTTTTATTTTTATTTTATTTTTTTTCGGAAGAAAATAATTCTTTTATTTTTTTATTATTTTTTCAAAACAATAACGTACCACAGTAGCCAAACATCGAATACAGTGTGTGTGTGGTGACAGAAAACACAGTTGTAAGAAAACTAAAAAAATAAATAAAATACTTTCTAGAATAAGACAGTCGTAAGAAAATCATGTATTAAATATAGTTCCACGGTCAGAGCGCGGCGCTGGCACGTCAGTGGGCGGGCCGTGAGTCCACACAGGCGGCCCGGGCTTGTCTCTCTGCTCTCTCCCTGCTCTTAGTGTCTGCCCTACGCCTCAGACACACACAGCCATGACGGAGGGGGAGTTGGACGTGGACTCGCTGATTTCCCGGCTCCTGGAAGGTAAGATGGCGCTTCGGACTCTCACATTTCTCCCCGTGGCTCTGCTGGTGTTTGCGTAAAGGCGCTTTTGGCTGCGTTTCGTTTGTCGAACCTTCAGCCTCCGCCTATATTTCCCCCCCTTTCAGAGCTTGTTCTGCACTTATCGAGTCTTTCCCACAGACTGGAGTCAGGTTAATCATGTAAAGATTGTTGTTTTGGACTGACATGGCTTGTATATGTTGCAGCATTACGCGCGACGGATCGAGTGTGTTCGCTTTTCAAAGTTATGCACTGCTGTTGTACCCCTTTTTGGAAACGTCACTGAGCGTCCTTTGTGTCACAGTATTATTTTTATTCCACAATAAATCCACATTCTTCCGCTGTCACCGCCGCTTGACTGGTCCGTGCAGCCTTAGAAGAAGAATGATCCACTTCTGATAATAATCCAGGTGTGAGTCCAGGCTAACAGCATGGAGTCTGTTGGAGGGACTTGTTTGGTGCCTGGGGCTGAGGTTGCAGTAAATTGCTGGTCCCAGAGTCAGGACTAAACATTAAGAGGCAACGTTTGACATTTATGCTACTAAAATCTTCCTGAAAATGTGAGACAGGCTTCCTCTCTGACCATGTTCAAATCCAGGTTGAAAATAGTGTCTTATTCGCTGGAATAACAAGGATTGTATCACTTATATTTTATGTACTGTGATTGTTTAAGATTTGAATGCCTTGTGTGATTTGTTTCTATCCTGTTTTCTTACGTATTTGAGTTGCTTTGTGTCTGAACTGTGCTATACAAATAAACTTGCATGGTAGCTGTCAGCTTTAGTGTTTTCTGTGGATCTGTTTGGAGGTTATAGTCTGCAGTGCTTGTTGTTGGTCCTACTGGTCCTGCTGGTCTTAGCCCCCGCTCCTACTGGAATGGTCAAATGCAAAGCTTCGTGTTTTGGACATTAGCTCTCAAATGTGAGGCTCCAAAGTTTCAAAAATGTCTGACGGTATGAACTCGTATGTCAAAGGGCACAACGTCACCAAAGAGACACTTTTAAATCCACATGCCAATGCATTTGTGCCAGAGAAAACTACAACTGCGCATAGTGTGACCACCATCCCAGTTCCCAAGCAAATTCCAAATGTGTCAAATAAAAACTATTCTTGCACAACACAAGTGTTTCCCAATCAACGTGATAGTGTTGAGTTGCCATCGGAAATAAACAATCAATCTTGTGTAATGGACATAATGCAACGACAAAATGAAATCACTGCCATGTTGGTCCAGCAAAACTTAACTTCAGTTTTACCACCTCGAAATATTCCATGTTTTGACGGCCACCCTCTTGAATATAAATCGTTCATAAGAGCTTTTGAAAATGGTGTCAAAGCAAAAACTTCAGATCTGACAGACTGTTTGCATTTTCTCGAACAATACACCAGGGGGCAGCCGAGAGACCTTGTCCACAGTTGCCAGCACTTACCTGCAGAACATGGCTACTACAAAGCAAAAGGTCTTCTTGCTGAGCATTTTGGAAATGAACATAAAATTGCACATGCATATATGGAAAAGATTAACAACTGGCCATCAATAAAAGGTGAAGACATCCAAGCACTACAATCATTCTCTCTGTTCCTAAGAGGATGTTCAAACTTAACAGAACATATCGCTCATATGAAAGAACTTGATTTGCCAACTAATATGAGAAACATCATTCTAAAGTTACCGTATAAATTAAGAGAAAGATGGAGAGGAGTGGCTTGTGATCTTCAAGAAAGGAGAGGACAAAGAGCATTGTTCACAGATCTGGTCCTGTTCATTGAAAAACAGGTCAGAATTGCATCAGATCCACTTTTTGGAAACATCCAAGATCCACAGCACTCTCTACCCAAGAGCTCAAACAGTAGCAATTTAAAGCAAAGAAAAAGGGGAAGTTTTGCCACAAATGTAACTGTAAACAAACTTGCATCAAACGAAAACAAGACTTCTGTAAATGGTTGTTTATTTTGTGCATTAAATAACCATAAGCTGGAAAAATGTTTCAAATTTAAAGAAAAGGCTCACAAGGACAAAGTAAACTTTATTAAAGAAAAGGGACTCTGCTTTGGCTGTCTCAAATCGGGTCACACGAGCAAAGACTGCAGAAATAGAATGGAGTGTTCTGTTTGTCACCAAAGACACCCCACTATTATTCATATTGAACGTGAAAACGCATCCAAGTGCCCCCCACAGCCCATATCTACATCCACAACGACTCAAACCTGTGGGCATATTGGGGCTGGTGACGAAGATCATTCAGTTTTGTCCATTGTTGCTGTGAACGTGAAGAGCCAAAGCACCAGTAAACCAGTGCAGACTTATGCCTTTTTGGATCCAGGCAGGATTTAGCATTCAATTTTCTGTCAAGAAAATTGAATGCTAAAGGAAAAAAGGCTAGTATTCTGCTGCGAACAATGGGAAATAAAAACATTGTGAACACAAATATTTTATCTGGACTCAAAGTAGCAGCACATGAGTACATTGAGCTCCCTGATGTGATGACACAAAAAACAATGCTAGTTTCAAAATGCAATGTCCCACAACAAGATGATTTGAGTAAGTGGCCATACCTGCAAAATGTGAAGCTCCATGACATAGATGCTGATGTTGAGTTGCTCATTGGCACTGATGCAGCTAAAGTGATGGAGCCGTGGGAGCTAATCAACAGCCAGGGTAATGGGCCCTATGCTGTTCGGACCCGAGTTGGATGGGTCATTAATGGTCCACTTCGTGGTGACTGCAAAGGTAAAGGTGGCTGTACTACTGTCACTGCTAACAGAATATCTGTGGAGCATCTTGA